CAGCCAGCATGGGAGTTGAAGTCCACACATCTTAAAGTTCCCAAGGTTGAGAAACACTGGATTAAATTTTTCAAAGCACAATGCCTTTTTGCCCTATCCTGGCATCTTTCTCTTTCTCATCTAAAATCCTCAGAAGTTTATAGGATGCTTGTGGGTCTTTAAGGTGCTACAAGGCTCCTTGCTCTTAAGGGGTAGCATTTGGATCCACCGTGTCAATCTGAAATATCCCGATGTTTTTCTTTGATTAGATTTGGAATGATTACAAACTCAGATGGAATCCAGACAAGTATGGAGGGGTGCAATACATCCGAGTGCCATCAAATAAGATCTGGAAGCCAGATATCATGTTATATAACAAGTAAGATTACTGGATTAGACCCCTTCTTAAACGTTATTCCCACAATGCACCTGCCCTAGTTAGTTCCTATCCCAGAGAGATGATCGCAAAGTTTCAAGCAGCACGCCACCACGCTACTGGGTCAAATCTCATCATTTTGGGAATAGCTGTTACCTGTCTTTTCCAAGAAATATGCCATGAGCTCTGTGTGTGTGCGTGCGTGAGACAGAGACGGAGAGGAGACATGGCTTCATTACATTAGTAGCCCCTTCCATTGACCAGATAGGAAGTGGTAGGCATGGCTCCTCCTTTGAGAAACATGTTCTGTGCTGCCCAGCTTTGACACTTGCATGTCACAGAACAGAACCTAAGAGCTAGAGCTGATGATTTTTTCTTCCCCACCTACATTTTGATTTTCCAGAATTACTACTTAAGCGTCAGGATAGGTTGTACTGATAGCTGATCCAAACTGCCAGAATTTATTCTATAATCAATCCATTATTTCAGTGCAATTGGGGACTTCCAGGTGGACGACAAAACAAAAGCTTTGCTCAATTACACTGGAAACGTAACATGGATGCCTCCAGCCATATTTAAGAGTTCATGTAAAATAGATGTGACCTACTTTCCCTTCGACCACCAGAATTGTACAATGAAGTTTGGCTCTTGGACCTATGACAAAGCTCAAATTGACTTAGTCCTTGTTGATTCCACAATGAACCTCAAGGATTACTGGGAAAGTGGGGAGTGGGCCATTATCAAAGCACCAGGCTATAAGCATGACATCAAATACAACTGCTGTGAAGCCATCTACCCAGATATCACCTATTCTCTCTATATCAGACGGCTGCCCTTGTTCTATACCATCAATCTGATCATCCCATGTCTTCTGATTTCTTTTTTGACCGTGTTGGTGTTTTACCTTCCATCAGACTGTGGCGAGAAAGTAACCCTGTGCATATCGGTCCTCTTGTCCTTAACGGTTTTCCTCCTGGTCATAACCGAAACCATTCCGTCTACTTCATTGGTGATCCCATTGATTGGGGAGTACCTCCTCTTCACCATGCTGTTTGTCACTCTCTCAATCGTCATCACGGTCTTTGTACTCAACGTTCACTACAGAACTCCCAGGACGCACACCATGCCAGAGTGGGTGAAGATTGTTTTCCTAAACTTTCTCCCCCGAATCATGTTCATGACGCGACCCACCAGCAATGAAGATGAGGGCAGAAGCCAGAAGGTGAAGCCATCTTACAACACAGAGCTCTCCCAGTTGAATTTCATCCATATCCCAGACAGCAGGTGCTGTCAAGACTGCTTCCCATGCCAAGGGTTTACACATGCTTGCTGCCAACATGAGCACAAAAAACATTTGAAGGGGACCAGCAACCTGACCCAGAGCTCCAGTTCTGAGTCTATGGATGCTCTGTTTTCATCTTCATTTATATCACCAGAAGTGAGGGATGTGATGGATAGCGTCAAATACATTGCTGAAAACATGAAGCTACAGAACGAAGCCAAGGAGGTATGGGTATATTTTAATTCCAACTTTATACAACATACTTGATGAGGCCTCATGCTGGAAAGGTGATAAACCAATAGCCCTGCAACATTCACATTTCAGCCATTTCCCCACCTCACCAAAGTAGCATTGGCTCTGACTGACCAAGGTCTTGCACAGTCTCAGGCTATGTCTACTTTCTACCAGGTGCCTGTGAAAGAATCCAAGAATGGATCTTCTACAGGCAATAAAGATGTGCTCCTTATTTGTGACTTGCATGATATAATGGTCACACTACTTAGAGCACAGAAAACAATACAAAGAAATAAACAATAATTGAATTTTTTAATATAGCAGGAAGAGAGATTCTTTTTACAAAGGGAAATTGGGTATGGATACCTGTGGTGATGAAAAAAAAGAAAGCTTTTCTTCTGGTCCAAAAAGTAGTGCCAACTTAGATGTCCAGCAGTAATTTTAATGCCTTTCAATTTCCATGAAATAGTTCACCTTCCCATATTTAATAAACATATCCTCATGCTTAAAAAGATTACCAAAACTAGGCAAGAAGGAAGGTCAGGAGCCAAAGACTTGCCATCATTTTTCATTTAGGTTTTTTTTCCAATTTAGTTTCAAGTATAGATTTGAGATAGAAGATCTGAGGGTCTGCACACTCTGCCTTCTGCAGATGCTCCACACAAGCCTAATTTTGAGACTAATTATTGTATGCTATCTGCAAAGAAAAATGTACAAATTGTTTCTAACTGCGCATAGCAGGCTCACAAAATAGATTATCCGAAAATTGATATAATTTGTTTGCTTATTTCTTCCAGACTCAAGATGACTGGAAATATGTTGCCATGGTAATTGATCGCATTTTCCTGTGGGTGTTTATTCTTGTGTGTATTTTGGGGACAGCAGGATTGTTCCTGCAACCACTGATGATCAGAGATGAAGTTTAAACAAGGTAACACGGCCAAAAGGACTTTTTCTTCTTTGGTGTCCAAACATACGAATTTATGTTGAACTACTTATTTCTGGGTCTTTGAGTACCAAAATAAAGATATGTAACATCATACAGAGGTTATATTATTCTGAGGTATTGTATAAGATTGAAGGATTTTTATTTCTAGATTTTTCATTTTCGAGAGTGAAAGAACTTTTATGGTTGTTGGATTAAGCCTTAATCAGCAGTGCCAATTTACTCTGCTGAAGTTGGGCTAGGAGAGTTCATTAATACGGTAATGCAGATCACAGCAATTTCAATAAACCATATATTAAAATCACGTAACAGTTATCTCGCAAGGAGCAGGGGATTACAGCAGTAGTACCAATATATAAGAAAGGAAACAGAGCAGATCCAGCCAACTACAGATCCATCAGTCTCTTGAGTATAGTAAGGTATACGCTAAGCACCTGAACTGGAAACATCTTTGTACTCCATCATGTTATACAAAAGCATTTGCACAAATTAAAATTTCCTCTTTATGTGGCCTTTCCCAACTTCAAGGCTTGCCAAACAATCTTGCCACAGCTATGGCAAGAGGAGTAACAAAAGGAACTTTCCCAGCTTTTCAGTCATGACAGGCTTAAAATGTATTAGAATCAGTAGAATTTTTTTTTAAAAGCTAGCATTTAAAAGCAAAGGATTTGAACAGGTTTCTAACTGGTAGGCAATTTAGCAGGAGGTGTAAGTTTTGGTGTAGGATAGGCTCTGTTTTTATAGCATTCTGTTACTTTATAAGGAAAATAAATTGCTATTGCAAAGGTCTGTGTATTTTCTTACCTTTCTTAAGGCCGGCACTACCATAATAGTCTTGGTGAGTTAATCGAAGAATCAGCTATGAAACATGAAAAATTTTAAAAAATCACCAGTACTGTATCGGCATAGTAACAATTATTCTATAATAGCAGCCATCACAAGAAAAGCATGGAAGGAAAGTTATTTAATTAATAGCAGGCTCATGCATGGAGGTTTGAAAGAAAAGCACTCCTCATTTTGGCCAGGAACAGCCTACATCAATTGGACTTGAGATCAATCCAAAGAATGGTTTTAAAACTGAGTACCTTTAAAGGGATCAGAAACTTTTTTAGTATTTCCTTTTTTAGTATTGCTTTAATTCTATATATATTATGTATTTTATATATACTTA